TGAGAGCCTTCTCCCTGATGTGTTCTGTACTCTTTCTGAATCAGCTGATGGTTGATCCTTTTATACTCATCAGTTCCTCTTGGCAGGTGACCCTGTACTTGATCTCATGATTGTAAAGCCAGGCCATGGTAACCTGTTGTTTCCTAAACCCCCGGAATTTGAAGTTGGAAGACCATGTTGCTTTTAGCAGTAATTAGAGAGAGCTGTTTCTGTGAAAGTTGGCTGTATAGCAAAAAAACTCAACAACCCAATCATTTAAAAAATAAAAATAAAAAGTAAGTAACCCCCTTGCTCCTGTTTTTTTTTTCTAGGAGGGAAACACCCCAAGTCTCAAATTCTAGAGGTACTTGAAAAATATTTGCAAAAGCCATAGGCATATCAAAATGTAATTTTATTTCTACAAAGATTAAAATAATTATCATATCAGATGATACCGAATCTCCTTTGCTCTCATACAGCCATCTGCAGCAGTGGTGGCACCTGCAGCTGTCCTGAGCCATGCAGGCTGAGTTAATGCAGGTTAAGGCATTTGGCTACCAGAAAAGTTTGTCCTTCTGTTTGGGAAACTGTGTTACCTTGAAGCATAGTAACACTAAGATGCATTTATAAATGAATGTATATTTTTTGTGTACAATAACATACATAAATGCTCCTATGCTGTATTCTTACTAAATGATTTTATTTTCCTATTGCTCTAGAAGAGAAAAAGAATCAAAATACTGAAAATAATTGGTTGCAATGTGTAAACAAAAGGAAAGCCTGTTTTCTTTGGAGTCAGAAAGATGAAGCAGTAAAATAAACTTGCTTCTAAAAAGCCTGGAAAAACTGAAGGATAGCATTCATATACTGTCATAATGAAGTTGGCATGATGTATGGACCAATACAAAATATTTTTATGCTTACTGCTGTAGACTTTTGAACTGATAAAATTGAACTTGGAACATCTATTGATTTTAGAAAAACTGTGGAAAGAATGAAATGTATTATAAGTATTTTTCTGGTTGTTAGAGGACATTTCCTTCAAACCTATGATTTATTTTCACAATTTCTCTTAGCTGTGCTTTTGCCACCTGGAGGCTGATGGCACCTTCTAGCAATGTCTTTAGTAGCCCTTTCCAGCATTGTGGTAGCTCTGAGTGCCCATCAGGATGTAGTCTTAAATTTAACAGGCAAACAAACAAACCCCCAAAAACAAATGATAGACATAATCTGAATATGAAATACAATTATCACTGTAACTCAATACCACAGCTTTCTGGAAAGGCGAAAGGGAATTTAAAAGGACTGGAAACATTAGAGTTCCTCTGTGCTTAGCCTGGAAAACTGGAGGTTTTGTAGTATAGGGCATTCTTCTCCCCCAGTGGAACTGAGATATATGCTTCAAAGTCCTGTAATTAAAATTTAATTATAAACAAAGCAAAGTTTATCAGGAAAGGTATTACTGATTAATGTACACTAAAAACAGCACAGCAAATCCCTAAGATTTTGGGACTACAAAATAGCCAAAATATCACACACTTCGTTTTGAACTGGGCATCAATTAATGCTGGCTGTACAGCTCCCATCTGCACAATAATCACAGAATAGAGAAATTCTAATATGCCTCTTGGGAGGCTAGCCATCCATTTCTGCCTTGGTCAGAGATGCAGCACATTTGGAATGATGTAGCTGAATACAAAATCACCGTGCTTATTCCCAGCCTTCCGAATAATTTTGTTTGCAAGGACTGTTTTAAGGCTGTTTGAAGCAATGCCATTTCAACAAGGGAGAGTACCATATAGGGGCTGCCTTATTGAGAAGATGAGCGTGGCAGTATTTTTTCAGGTTTATCTACTAGTGATCTATCTAATATTGGATTATCCTGGGCCGAGGTTATAGCAGGTTATGAGAAGGTTATTTTCCTTGATTGAGTTTCCACTTTGCACTGGTATTCATTCAGTTTATGTGCTGGTTTATCTTTTCAATTTGCAGAACCTATGAAGTGTTTGATGTGTTTTTATAAACAGTTTGATTACAGAAAATATGGTCTGAATCGGATGCATTACTGTATAACAATATACTGACAAAATTCTGAGAGAATTTACAACCTTACGCTTAACAAAGCTTGAATGTTGTTATAGTGCTATGGTGAGTACAGTAACCTGAGAAAATGAGATTTTTGAGTTTTAGAATTATGGAAGATAACAAACTGGCACATCTGATTTTGTGTTTAATTGTACATTACTTTTTAAAATTGTATAATAATAGAAAGTAAAATTTTGTTGTGATTATTGACCTGTTTCCCATCAAATTAGGGTGTCAGGTCCAAGTTTTGACAATTGCATCTCAAATTTATTTTCCGTACAAATCTTGAGATAGGCTGAAAAAGAAAACAAAACAGTTGTTTTATTTGCCTCTCAGTGACAAGTTGCTTCTTGCAGCCCTAATGACTGAAGGCACTGCATTTTCTCCAAAATATAAACTAGTATTTTAATGGAATTACATGTCTTTGGAGCATAAAGAAAAATAACTTAGAAACCTTTTTAAGAGCATCCTATCTATTAACATAAACACTGCATATCTTCCTCTTACCTCCATTTCCTACGATTATTTATATTGGAGTTCAGACTTTAAAGGGAACTCCTCCTTTGCTGCTGGGGCAAAGTTGTATTTAGCTGTTTGGTGCAAATACTCTATGTAAATCTGTACCACGTGAAGGAATATGAAGTATAAATATAGGTGTAGGGATTAAGCACAGTGTGCCCTGGAATCATGCTCAGGAGCTGCTGTTTGTGTCACATTCAGAGCTTGGGAAAAATAGGAGTTTACAGTACCACCAAAAGATCTGTGCTATTTTCCTTTAATCCTATTTGTCCTGGGCAGTTCTGCTTCCTTGTGTCCTGTTCTGAAGCGTGTCTGTAGTTGAGTGGTGAGGCTGTGGGGATTTTGGTGTTGAAATGGTTCCGGATAAGATGTCCACAAGCAGAGTGCTCCAAAATGCCAAGGGCCAGGAATCTTCTATTAGGAAAGCTCATCTATTACAAGGATTTACACACTATTCATATATATTTGTTTTTCTTTGAAGTATTACAAATGTTTAGTCTATTAGTGGTGTTTTAAAATAACTTGGGACTGTTTCAGCATCTTGTTTCAAATATGGTTATTTTATGTTTTCGAGTTGTCTTAGGATTGATAAATGAGACAAATATTGTTATTTGAAAGAAAATAATTACAAATGCTATCTCATTAAAAACATGTCTATGCTTTGCATGTGTGCAGATGTCTCTGTATCTATGTATATCTGTATCTATTTACATAAACAAAGGTTCTGCAGCGAGTACCAAATAGTGCAAGTTAGTCCCCAGCTCTAGATAATTGGAATTTTCTTGACATATCAAGCTCTTTTTTGTTGTTGTAAGTAACATACTATGAATAACTTACAACCCCTCTGTACCTATAATATGCGGTGTCTGCTATAGCCTTGATGATCAGTAGTCAACTCAAAAGTTTTTTAGAGCTGACTAATGATTCACCAGATATTTCTGACAGGGATGTTGCTGTCATTGTGAAGCTTGAAGAGGTTTGCTATTGCAGCCATATGGCAGTTCTTGGTTCTCTGGAGAAGAGAATCCATTTGATAAACAGATCAAAGCGTTCTGTTCTTTCAGTGAATGATGCCTGTAAGTAACGTAGAACTAATTTCACGCTGCCTGCCTCATTTGCTGAAGTCTTGCATTCTGCTTTCAATATGATATTGCTCATGCATTATATTTTAAATATAGCTAAATCATTATTTAAATAGTTCTGTTCCTGGGTAATTAGGCAATCCCACAAGTATCTAATTCACCAAATGTGCTATCATGATTAGTAAAATCAGTGTATAAATGTGGTTGCTTGTTGTACTAGCCATGCAGGTAAGGAGACTCTCAAAGACTCTTTTTTTTTGCTATACCACAAGCCTAAAACTTAGGCTTTTGGACTTAGGTGATGAACAACTATAGACTAAAAATATATACCACATTATTCCTAGAAATAGTTGCATTTGCTCTGGGAATTCTGATGTGGGGTATGCAGATGTTTGGCAGTGAAGGACAAATCTAGTGAGAAACTTAGAACAGAAAGTGTATGCTGCAGCATCACCCTGAGAGGAAACAGATCTCAATCTGGGCTGTATGTACACCTTTAAGGCTTGTCTGATAGCAGGATGTTCTTTCTTTCTATTCCACCAGGCATTCCAGATGTGTAGTTGCCATGACCGCACTTGCCTAGTCTCACAGAATGAGTGTATTGTGACATAGATGTGATGCAAAGAGCCAAAAAAGAGAGGAGAAGGTTTTACCTTGCAAGATATTCCATTAAAGGAAATATGAATGAGATTTGGTGCTGAGTCTCAGCAGAAAAGGGAAGATTTAGGGTTATGACACACCATACTTCTACATATGGCATGAGGCATTATTCTCTCTGTAGAGGTGATACAGCTCACAGCGGAACTAAGGAGATGTGTATGTGACCCTTTGTGATGGAGCCTGCATCATCCTACAAGTGTCTTGTAAGAGTAATAGTCTTATAATCATTGAACTATTAAAAGTATTGGCTGAATGACAGATGTGAATGAGCATGAGGTAATTACCACAATTCTTCAAACTTTACTGTTCCTTTTATTTTTGCTTTTGGGAGTTTGGTGAAAGGATAGCTTATTTGTCACAGGGTAATTTGCCTGAATTTCCATTTTCAAGAGGTATAGATGAAAGAAAGTTCAGAGTGCTTGGTGCTTGCTGTTATAGTTTAAAGCTTTCTGTTAGCTACCTGAAGTGTGTTGGCACTCTGATTTCTCATTAAGTTCGCTGATAAATATCAATTTGCAATTCCATACCCTGTAGTCCGCCACAAACTTCTGCACTTTGCTTGTTGCATCTCTGACTCCCATGAGTATGTGTACTTGATTCTTTACTTCTTTGTCTCTCGACAGCTACAATTGAACCTTTTTTATTTCTTTTTAATTTGCGTTTCTTTTTTTTCAGTGTGGGAACTTTGCTGTTTTGGTAGATGTTCATATTTTGCCCGAAGGCTCCAATAAAGACACCAGCTGGTTTTCAGATCAGGAGAAGGAGGTACAACAAATAACAGTTCTGCTTCAAAAGCCTGTGGTCACAGGGAAATGTTGGATAGCCTTGAACTGTTCAGTGTTTTTCAGTGTTACGATGAGAGCGCTGCTGGTTGTGCCTAACTGAATGGTTGCTGTGGGGCCCCTAAGTGAACTACACGTGCTTTTTGGGTCACTAATGGCCACTTTCTATTTCCCTTTTAATTTTTAAGCTCTGCATGTGTATGCATGTGGTTTTGATTCTTCTGACTTTGGTTTTAAAAGCATCTCTCTGACGGTATCTTTGTCTTTTGTAAACTGTCCTGAGTTATGAATAATGGACTGTGACAGGTATCACTTTTGTAGAGCTTGTTGGTGAAAAGCCTGTTAACTGTTTTATCACATTTAGGAAAGTGTGAATGGTATTTAGTTTAGAGAGCGAGTGCAAGAAAATATAATGTATATGCATGATATGCAAGGTAATGTATAACAGAACTACTGTATCTCATTAAGGGAGATTATTAAACTTGATTTTGAAATGTATCATTTAACATCCTAACAGCGGATGAAATCTTGGAAATTCAGAGCCTCAGCAACCAGTAAAATTACAAATGTAACTTTCATCAGATTCTGTGATTTCTGTAAGAATCTCATGATGAGTTACTGGCCGGAGTTTTCCCCTATTTCAGTCTGCATGGGAACTTGAGAAGCTCCCTGCTGAAAATGAATGCAAGACATGTTTGAGATGCCTGTGGACTTTCCCGCAAGTCTCTGTTACGGTAATTTTCAGCGGATAGCTTTCCTAATAATGGCATAATTAACTTGTCACTGCAGAGCATCCCCGTATGGTCACAGCCATGTTTAAAGAAAAAGGAAAGAAGGAAACAAAACCTTCCAAATTAGTGGTCAGAGGGAGTGAAGGCAGAATATTTATCAGGTTCACCCAATTTGTGCTTTAAGAATCAGACAAAGGAGAAAATACGGGAAGTCTTTTAGATGACTTTTTTCCTCAAGTAAATGAATACTCCTTACCGCTTCTATTTATAATTGGCACTATCTTGGTTATAAGTTTTAAGTGCTTTCAAAATGTATTCTGTATCATTGCCAAAACAAAAGATGGGAATTTCAGGAAATTAGATCATGAGTGATTTAATAAAGAGGCATGACGGGGCAGCATTCAGTGCGTTGCTGTGACCGTGTGTTTTGAGAGAAGTACAAAGGGTGCATATTTTCAACAACCAAGAAGTGTGATTCCAATAGCTTTACAATTTGCTTCCTGAAAGCCCTACACAGAGCCTTTGTTGTACCGGAGAAAAAAGGTCAAATTATGCCTGTGGTTTTTTTCATGGTTTGTTTTTTTTTTTTTAATTTTCACTGCAACAAGTTTTTCACATCTCCAGAATTCATCACCTGAACAGTGGTGCAACCTTTGTTTGTCTGTCTGAGAAACTGTGGGGAAAAGCAGATGCCTTTCAGGCACCATGTAACAAAAGCATGATTTGTGCTGATCCTCCCTTCCCCTGGCAGAAGTGGCTGCTGTCTGTGGGATGCAGAGCCCTGCAGAGGGATAACGTGGGGGCAGGCGCGGTACTGCCGCAGGGAGGGAATGGCGTGCTCTGCTGGCCGTGCGATTCAGGGTGGAGAGAAGAGTGCAGGCTGTGTGAGGCAGGCTGGGAGCTGCATACAAGCCCGTTAGTGTGGGGATGGTGTTAGAAAAGGCCGTGCACGTTGTCTGGCGGGGCACTTTACTGAGCACAGTCTCTGCGTGCTGCTGTGTGGTGTATAAGGGTCATTTTGGACTGACGTGCAAATCACTAATTTGATGCTTTTCAGGAACTTTTCTCTTTCTGTCCTACCCTTTCTAGTTTTCCGGCCCTTTGTGTCCTCTTTCTTTCCCCCTAGAATAACAAATCAAAGTTTAGCCTTGTACTTGACAAAAGAACTATTTCTTTTTTAGACTGATTTCTCATGTCCTTGCTGTAAAAGCTCCACTTTGCACACGGAAAGGTCTGAGTTATCAGTTCTGTTCTTATTCTAGAAATAAGAGAAAATTATCTTGAAAATTGCTCATTTATACTTTCTTAAATATAGACCTGTTTAGTTCTTTGTGGAGAACCAATAAATATAATTTCCCTAGGCATAACAACGGAATTAAATATTTTCCATGTAAATTAAAGAAATGCATGCTGATCTTTTTGTTGTGGAAGGAACCACATGCAAACTCCTTCCTCTGCTTTCTAGACTTTTCATTCTAACCCGAATGCACAGTCCTGTTGAAGGAATGTGTAATGAGATCACTTTAATGAGTAAAACAGAGGAATAGGCAGATACTGTATTTTACAACTATATTTTTCAAGCATAAGGGAAAGTATATTTCTAGCTGTAAGGAGAAAATACTATTTGTGGTTGACCTATATATGTGTACTGCTCTCACTTAGAGCAATATGTTAAAAATGTTCCTCTGCATACTTGGTAGATAAATCCAAAGTAAATTTTCAGCCAAGGTATTTTATGCTTGGTGTTACTAATATAATTTTGTCTGATGTCCAAAAACTATAAAAAAGGTAAGATGATATATTTGTGTGCTGCAAAGTGTCATTTCTATGAGCACAAAGTTAGACATAGTGGAAAATAAAAATTCTGAAGTAAAAGGCACAAATGTGTGTGTGCCCTAATCTGAAAACTTGATCTAATATTTGAGATAAATATTTTGCTCTTATATCAAGGTGTTTCTTTTTCTGTGGTTATTCTGGATGAAAGGTTTGTTCTTCTTTCAGTTGTCTATATTTCGTTGTTGTGTTGTGCTTTGAAGGAAGTATGAAAAATATGAATGGATAAATTTAGGAGGAGTAAAGTCAAATGAACTGGAGGAATTAGGTTACTGGAACCAAGTTAGTTCTATGTCCTTCCTTCCCAAATTACACTGAATTGAACCAAAATATCTGCTGTGGTTTATACTTATTCTTGCAGTGCTGATGATTCCTGGCAATATCTTCACTAATATTTTGCTTAAATTTCTGGTGTTATGATACTTATAATGTGTATTTTTTCATACTTTGCATACAAAATAATTTAATTTTCTTTTAAAAACAATGCTATTTAATGTCATAATGTATTTCTATTACTAAGAACTTCAGCGATTTTCTATAAATAAATTGCACCATGCATTGTGACCTATCTGAATCATAGTTTTTACTCTCTTATTCTTCAAAACTGTAGAAGAAATTATTAAAATGTGTTTAAAAAAAAAAAATAGAAAAGCTGTTAGGATTTCTTTTCCTTGTTCTAATGTATTTCTTAAGCATTTCTCAGCTTTGTGTAACACCACAGTACCTGATTGCAGACAGTATTTTTTTATTCTCACCTCTGTGTAATCAGTACCTGATTGCAGTACCAGATTATTGTCGGAGAGATTTTGTACCTTTGTGCATTTGTTGTGCATGCAGTGCTTAGCTCTGAAGAGGGAAATGTTGACATTTCAGGAGGTCTGCATGTACCTAGAAGAGGTGGTCGTGTCACGGATCAAACGCTACTTGGAAGCACGTAAGAAGCGTGGTCAGTGGAAGTCAGTGGAACATGCATCGTCAACTCCTCTGTTCATTACAGGTAAAATCAGTTATTTAATCTGTAAAACAATAAAACAAGGTAAAATATGGTGGAAACTGCTGTTCTGTACTTTTTAATGAGAAACTTCCCATCATGAAATCTAGTAAAGCCAAAATATCTGGAGTTTTGGGGTTTGAAATTACTTTGGCTATGTTTCTGAAAAAAACAGGAATGGGTTTTAATTTTCTGTACATAGTTGAAAAATTGACATCTCACTTGTGCTATTAAATTAATGTGACAGAATATAATTGAGCAGAATAAAAGAAGCCATGTTTCTCTAAAAATGATGGAAAACTGTCTTTTTTCTGAAGTCAGGTTTCTATTTGTACATTTTTTAATTCTAGAAATATTTTTCTCCTTCCTCTTGCCATTTATTCATTCTTTAAAAACTGCTGTGTTGTGATAAGTGACATCTGTTGTTTCAACTGTGTTACTATAGATTTGTAATGGTAATGAAAAGTAATGAAGTCAGTGACCTTGGAAGGCTTTGATGGGATAATTACTGTGCAGAAAAGAATAGTTGCTAGAGCATTTACCCAGCTAGAACAACCATGTTGGATTTTATCTGTGTGAGGGAAGTGAAATCAGTAGATGCAATTCCAGTAAACTTTTCTTTAAAATAAAAAATAATGATTACTGTAGCTTTTCTTCAAATGTTAGGACCTAGTGGCTTGCCAGTTTTTCTTCGCTGTTATTCCATTACCTGATCTAGTTAGGTGGGTTTTAAGTAGCTAATAGGCTTATTTGTTTGTCTTGCATTTGAAAATCAAGCTATTTTAAAATTGTTCCTAGGAAATGAATAATTTTAGTTTATTACCAGCCTGGAGCATGCTATAAACTTGTTACTATGCTTTTCTACTTCTGAGTGAACAAACAGAATTTTCTTATGCTGAAAGCAGAGGACCACTGCAAAGGGTGTGATGGGAAATTCTGAGATTGGTTGAGATTTTTCTGTATTTTCTTTTCTCGAGTGATATTTTTCACTGATTATTTTCTTAAATTTCTTGCCTCAGTCAAAGTATGTTTTCAAAACCAATGATTTTGTAAGGTAAGACTATCAGACAAGCTGGTTGTTTTTGCATATGCAGATAGATGCAATAGTTTGAGGGAATTCTTGAGATTTTAAGGTCCTGTAAGTTCTTTCGTATCACAGACTTTTCAGTCAGAATACTGGTATGCTGTTCAACAGCTGTGAACTGATCTGCTTGACTCTTCCCCTTATTTTGTGAAAATGAAGGACCTAAGGTCATCAGTAATATCTTTGATAGTTTTAGATTAAAGAGTATTTAGTTTGGATGAGACAGAATTTCTGTTTCATGAGTTTTCTGCGTTTAATCTTGACATCAATAATTAACACTTAAAAAAAAAAAAAAGGAAGAAAAAAGTATGCGATAAGGAACATTCATGTTGAACTTAATTTCCAAATCTCTCTTCTTCCCTCAGCACGCTTTGCTCAGGGCTGTAATTTGTAAGAAAGGAGTGCTTTGTTCAAGAATCAAGTTTATTCAAGTTACATTCAAGTCTATTCTTACCTGAGAAGGAAATAGCAGATATAGTAGGTGGGTGTTCACCGGAGCAGCTGGGACCTACCTCTGAGAGACTGACCCTTCTAGGTGAGCCACAAGGCTAAAACTCTTTCTCAAGTGTTTCACCTTCCTCTCTTTGGTCACAGTTCTGGTGGAGTGTTGGTGAACTACAAAGATTTGTAATGTTCTCAAACAGACGAAGCGCAAGATAGCTGAATAGCTGGCCAGTGCTCGCCTGACAGTATTTGAAGTATACGGACAAATGTGTAAGCTTTCATCTGTGGCTAACTACATTGGCATTCTTCAGCTACTGCTGGTAAAATATTTAAGCTTGCAGTTACTGTTGCATTTGGAGGTTATTGGAAGTTTTTGAGTTCTTCAAACTGGATGTGGTTTCTTTTTCTCAAAGTTATGCAAGTCTGTGTCTGGAGTTTTGCTGCTGTAAAATCACCACTCTTGCAGGTCAGAGTGTGTCTGTGAAGAACAAGAAGATGTTTATTAATTGGTTGTTTGCTCAGCACTCCGCTCGTGCTTGGGCTTGCATCTTTTGGGCTTAATTTCTGTTAGTTTGTATTCAAAAGTTATTAGAATCAGAATTATTAGTTCTGGTTAGCAAGCTTTTAGATGACCTTTAATATCAAAATGGCCGTATGGGAATTTTCATCAGAAATAGAAACCAAGTTACTTTATTTTGGATAGCAGATCCAGTTCTGCTTTCTAGATCTATAGAGCAGACTGGCTACCATTACTATTTTGAAGGGAATTTCTTCAGCTATCAGAATTTCTTTTAAACATTGACATGCTATTATGTTTAGTGTTAGTATTAGTTACTGCCACCTTTCAATTTAGTGGCACAAAATGTAAATATCCATTTGTGTAACTTGTAAATTTACGTTTCTTTTTCAAGTTACACCCACACAGCAGTGTGTGGTGGGTCGCATACCATCTCATTAGGAAATCTGTGGGTGTTACACATAGGAGAAGAAAGAAAGAAAGAATGGAAAAATGAGAGAAAGTAGCCAAGACAAGCAAGTTCTTCCTATTCTTCCTTCTGTCTGAACAATTTCCCCACCCCTCCCAAATGGCCAGTAAGAACAATATGCCAAAGTAAGCTTTAATTTATTCTTTGGACATAGGCTTTGGTATAAACTTTCCATTTCCTGTGTTTAATTAATGTCTGAAAGTGTTTAATTTTGCTTTATCTTTTTTAAAGAAATGTAAAATAAGGTAGATTTTAAAAAATTTGATTTTGCCTGTGTCCAATCTGCATGGCCAAAATCATGTAGGAAGGGCATTAACAATATATGGCTTGCTTGCACTACTTGAAGTTCAGTGAATTTAAGCCAACCAACAATAATAATTGTAATAATAACAATAAACATGCATTAGCAAATTTAACTCTTTCAAAAAAGCCAAACTGTACTTACCTGTTTTGCTTTACATTGTATAAGCTTTAAAGTTAGAACTATTCTTCGTGTGTGTATTTAAAAAAAATATATAAAATATATGTTTCTGCCATATGTTTTCAGTTTGCACCACTTGTGCTGCTCAGTAACATATAGTTGTTTTTAGCGATGGTACTGAGCATCTTTAGTCTTAGTGTCATAATATTCATCCAAATACAGAAAGGCTGTAGGCCTAAATAGGCTAAAAGCAAAGCCTGGCTTTTCACCTTCTCAGAAACTGACTGTTTCTGATGAAGAGTAATAAAAACTAAGTGACTAGAGGCTGTAAAGAGGATCATATAGAGATGCTGTATACAGGAGCTTGACAAAGGGAGGACTGTGGAAAATTAAGGAAGAAGCCAAAGTTCACATGGGCGTAGAGCAAAGAAAAAGGAGAACGTGTAAAGAAAATGTGGCCACCTTAGAAATGGAAGGAGAGAAGAAAGGAAGAAGGTATCTTGTAAACAGACCTCCTTCTTCCCTCTCTTGAATGCGGAGAAAGTTCAATATGTTTATCCTACAAATCATTTTCAGATCTTTTTCATTCCTTCCCTAGCATCCTTGTTATTTGTCTTGGCTTGATGGTGGAACATTTCTGCTCTGATTTCAGATCTTTGTATTGTACTGTGTTTCCTACTGTGGAAATAATTAATCATACGGCACAGATAGTTCACAGCCTGATTTTATCTGCGTTCTCCGGAATAGAGTATTTTTTAAAAATATATTGAACCTTGCTTCCTTAGAAAAGTTGAGCTAATTGCGATCGTATTTTCTGTCTGTTTCTGTTTTGCCGTTCCATCTTTTCCCTCTGATTGCTTTTCCTAAATTGGCTGAACTTTATGACAGGTAGAAATTTCAGGGGATATGTTTGCCAGCACTTAACTTCAGATAAGCTTACTGAAATGAGGAAGAGGAAGAAATGCGAGTCCTTTGAGTAGTTTGGCCTTACAAAGACCCAGTGTCAAAGTTCACATCTTATTAAATATTTAAAAAAAAAACAACTGAGATTCTATAAGAAAATACATTTCATTTGTTCTGTTTCTCATGAAACTTTTTTCTTTTCTTTTTTCTCCTATAAACACGAAATAGTCTGTGTTCACTATTTCTGTAGTAATTGAAGTGCGTAAGGTATGCATAGGCTAAGTTCCCTGTTAGAATTCTGTGGCAGCAAAAGTGATTTAAAATATTCCCACTTGTCTAGCTTTAAACTCTTGTTTCTCTGTGGTGAAATAGTGTTAACTTTGGTTTTAACAAGAATTGTTTCATCTGTCTTCCTTAAAGAGCAACTCCACAAATCATTTCTGATCTCCTTTTTTTCTTTTTCCTCCAATCCGAGAACAAGTGGGCATTCAATAAAGTTATAGGAAGTCAAATTGGTTAGCAGAGCTGTGGAATTCTTTGCCAATGAGGGTGATAGATGCGTTCACTTATTTGGGCAAGAACCCAGGAAGGATATTGGTTTCATGGAAGGCTGGGAGAGGACTGGGGGGAAATAATTGCGTACAGTTTGCTCTTGTGTTTTATCTTCCCTCCTATGCTTTTCTAGTGACATTAAATGCAAGACATTGAGCTATATGAACCTTTGATCTTATTCAGTATGGCCTTTCTTATCATCATAAGGAAAAAGCCTGCACCGTAAATGTTATTATGTTGGGGAGAGGCTGATGTATTTCAAAGATTGTCAGAGGAAATTCTAGGCTTTCTAGATTGAAGGATCTGTGTTTGTCTTATTCCTGATATTAAATTGTTCCTCACAGGATTTAGTAATTGCTATCTTTGTCTTGGGACATTTGCAGATGTAGCACCAGATCTGTTGAATGCTTTCTCCTTATTTTATTCTGCTCTAGGTGCATCCCCCATGTGAAATTATTTATAATCCTGGGTAGGAAATGAAATACTGTTGTATTTATTTTAGAGATACCCTATAATGAAATGTTTTATATAGATACTGTTGAAAAGAAATATACCATTTGCTTAAAATAATAGGAGAATTGTGTAGTTTGCTGTATGTCTTCAGTTTAGAAAACAG